CCAGGGTGCCGAAATAGATCGCTACTTTTATAAAAGTTATTCATTATTAGGTACCTTTTGATAATAGCGATTAAACCTTTTGCGCCCCCTAGGGATGGCGCCCTAGGCGACCGTCTAGTTCGCCTTATAGGTAGCGCCGGCCCTGGTTAGGACTTTGATCAGCCGCTTTAGCTTTCCCCAAGCAGGGTGGACTCAATGAAGTCTTAGGGTAACAAACAAGTCCAAACCGAGATCCGAACTCAAGACTTTCGGGCTAGCTGCCAAACGCTCTACCATTCGACCACCCCGTCCCATCCATGTATGTTGCTGTATGTCCATTTTCTATACCGTCCATGTCATTATGTATTCACAAACGTTGATTGTGTATGTTGCGAGACAACGATTGATAAAATAAATACAATTGAATTACATTGTCAGGAGTGAAAGATTTTGCAACACAAAATTTCTAACTTGTTTATGATCGTGTGCAGACATTTAGAAGAATTGAGAACTGTGATTGCTAAATACTAACTCAAAACCCCCAAAAGGTGATTTAGGCGATTGTGGTGTGACCTTAGCCTAACTAGCTATAAACCAACACTTTGACCAACTGTACCAACGAGCCATAAACCAACCGTGTGGCCAAGTGAACGATAACAAACACGGGCCACATTAACCTGGCCATGTATACCATAATACCGAATGTTTGACCAAGGCCTAAAGGGAGACAAATATTTACCAAGCTGACCGTCTTGTAATGGTCAGAGTTTGTGAGAAGGGTGGCCTCCCCTTCGTCGGTCCCCCTGAGTTTTTCCCCCTTTCGTTTCGAACAAACATGGCTGACACTGTGTCTAGTTGGTCGGGGATGGTCTGCCCTTGATATTTGCTGGGAAAACAAGCAGGCTGCTTAGAGCTTAAACATACCCGTTCTGGGTTAACTCTGGTTCACAACAAAAGCTGGAAAACCCATGTATGATTCATGATATTTTTTTTTTTACTTTTAAAATTGTTTAAGATTAAAATAAGATCAGAAAGATTTAAACCGCGCAGAGTCACTTATAATTTTTCATCTAGTGATTTTAATAAGAAGCTTAGAGGAGTCTTCATGTCCTTTGAAACACAGTAAAATAATTTGAGAGATGATGTACTCAAGTCGAGTTGATAATTTGTTCCAATTTTTAAAAGATCAGGACACATCAAGCCTTTTGATGAGAGGATGAATTCAAAAGTGGCTTTTCATTTAGAACTGACTGATTTTGATTGGAGTTTTAAGTAATTTTTCTACAATTAGCAACCATTTGGGTTTTTATAACGACTGTTTTACTAGGTCCACTTTTCACAAGTTTTCAGACAGAGTTTTTAGAATCAGAGTTATCACTTTATCTTCAATTATATTTTCTTTAATCTGGCTTTTTAAATAAGATTTTAAAAAAATATTAGAGGCAAACATTTCCTACTAAAAAAAAAATACGAATCAGATTTTTTTTGGAAACAGACTTTAAATGAGTTTTCTATCAATAAAGCTTTTTTTTTCGAGTTAATCTTACGTTTCTCAAGGCAGACTTTTAAAATCAGACTTCTCTTCAATCAGACATTTTACAGCCGAACTTTTCTTAAATAAACCCTTTAAAATAAAACTTCTAATCAATCCAACTTCTTATAATCGGGCTGCTTTTTTTCTTCATCCGTCAAACATATTGCTCTCATAGGTTTTCGTAGCTTAACATGGTAGTGACTTCCCCTTCTCCACTCGAGTCCAACATATCCCCTGACTTCTCTACAGTACTCTCACCCACGTGACTTCAAAAACCAATCATTCGACTGAACATGGTCTTCAGTCTGGTACACTCCGGCCCACTTCTTGCATGTAATTGGTACTTGTGGCACCAATTTCCCCCATTTGCCAGGTACTTTGGCCATGTCGTGCCAGGAAGGCAAGAGCCGGACCTGCAGTTCATTTCTGCCCAATTGTCCTTTCTTTCCCCCCGCTTTGTTGTCGTGTTTCAGCTACGGGTTTTCCCACACAACTATAGATAGAATAGACGATTTAACATGGTCATTGTTTTGAGTTGTTTTGTGTGTTTGTACGTGTACGTGTACGTGTACGTGTACGTGTACGTGTACGTGTACGTGTACGTGTACGTGTACGTGTACGTGTACGTGTACGTGTACGTGTACGTGTACGTGTACGTGTACGTGTACGTGTACGTGTACGTGTACGTGTGCGTGTACGTGTGCGTGTACGTGTGCGTGTACGTGTACGTGTGCGTGTGCGTGTGCGTGTGCGTGTGCGTGTGCGTGTACGTGTGCGTGTGCGTGTACGTGTGCGTGTGCGTGTACGTGTGCGTGTACGTGTGCGTGTATGTGTGCGTGTATGTGTGCGTGCTCTTGGACTAGGACGCATATTTTTTTTTATTACAGGTCTGTTGTTGATCTTATTACATGACAATGATGACGGCGCAAAAATCAAACGCTATTAATCCCTACTTTACATTTTACATTCATAAAAATCTCACCCCCAATCGCATTAGACAAATCCATACGAATTCCCAATCACGCTAATGAAATACACATGATATGAAATACACATGATATGAGATACAAAGTTGGAAGTATAAAGGGAATTTCATGTGTACATAAAGGATAGATTTAAACCGGTGTATCTAATACAGGGAGCATTAAGTGGTGTGGGGCCCGAGTCTGGAGTGATGTCCCCGGGGGATGGCGTTTAAAAGCTAGCCGGCACGCGACTTAAAAGCTTTTTTTTTAGGCGAGCTAAAAAAGTTCATGGGCCAGCGCAGGAATATTCCTGGAGCGTCCGGAATCCGGACTCCGTGGTCGATCAACCTGCGGGTCCAGTTATGTTAATGCCTCGCGGTCAGCTAGACGTTGAGATTGGTTTTTTTTAGGCTTGGTCCCGATTTTAAGAATTATTTTGAAACAAAAACTGTTTTAGGATGAGTGAGAATACATACACATAATACAAAAAAAAACAAAAAAAAAAAACTCATTAGGTAATAGACACAAAAGTTCTGGGAAATGTGCATATAAATGAAACTTATATTAGAAAAAATTATGGGACGGCGTGGCCTAGCGGTAGAGTGCTAGACTAATAAGCCGAAAGTCTCGAGTTTGAATCCATGTTCATGTTAGCAGAACTTCCATGAGTCAACCCAGCTACGATGGGTACCTAACTCACGTTAGGAGAAAGTAAAAAAATAACATTATGTTCTTTTCAAAACTGATTTGGATTTTTGCTGTGATGTATAGAGCTAAAGCAAATCCTTATGAAGCTATACCGAAAGCTCACTGTATTGCAGAACTTATTTCTCCAAAAGTAACGCCCCTGCTAAAGTGTTAATGCCTGTAATAAAGTACCACTGCCCCACTCAACTCTCCAAAAGTGACGCCCCTGCTTAACTTAAGTGTTAATGCCTGTAAAAAATACCCGTGCCATACCAATCTCTCCAAAAGTGACGCCCCTGTTGTGACGCCTGTATAAAGTACAACTGCCCCATCCATGTCTCCAAAAGTGACGCCTATATTTCATACCTGTATCAAACACCCCTGCCCCACCCTTCCCCACCACAAAGTCACGCCCCTGTTAAAACCTTGCCGCCTGTAGCAGACCAAAGTGTCTGGAATTCCCTATTATGACGTCCTATACGTGACCTGTCAACCAGGCTCTAGACGAGAAGATATTTAGCGTCATAGCCCAGTCACTTGCCGCGAAAAGCCGAAACCCATGTACGTCACATTTTTTTTTGGTCGTATAGAGAACAACGTCTCTAGCGAACGTGCCAAGACTACAGTCTAACGTTCAGTTTTGTGCTTTAGTTTTAAGTTTACAAAGTTAACAACCTAGCTTAATTCGCTCATAGACAGCAGTTGTTAGTTGCATTTGTAAATGTACAAAACGCATCCCATTTATGTCACTTTTTATTTGGTCGTCTAGAAAACATCTCTTTTTAGCATACGTGCATAGACTACAGCCTAATGTCCGTCCATTTTGTTTTTGCTTTACTTATAATTTTACAACGTAGCTTAACTAGCTCATAGACTGCAGTTGTTAGCTACATTTGTAAATGTTCAAAAACCGAGACCCATGTCCGTCACTTTTTTTTTGGTCATCTATAAAATAACATGTCTAGCAAACGTGCCAAGACTACAGCTTAATGTCCGCATTTGTGTTTTAGTTTTAAGTTTACAAAGCTTATAATGTAGCATGACTCGCTCATAGACTGCAGTTGTTAGTTCCATTTGTAGATGTTGAAAAAGCCGATAGCCACGTACGTCACTTTTTTTTGGTCATCTAGAAAACATCTCAATCATACGTGCCAAGACTACAGCCTATTGGCCGTCCATTTATTTATTTTTTGCGTTACTTTTAAGTTCACAATGTAGCCTATCTTGTTCATAGACTGCAGTTGTTAGTTGCATTTGTAAATGTGCAAACAGTCGAGAATCTATAGGCCTATGTCACTTTGTTTTGGTCGTTTAGAAAACAACGTCTCTAGCATAAATGCCAAGACTGCAGCCTAAAGTTCACTTTTGTGCTTTAAAGTTTACAAAGTAGCCTAACTTGTTTATAGGCTGAAGCTGTTACATATGTGAATTATCACTTTATAATTCACTTTTCATAGTCTAGGTTGCTTCTGAAAATACGTTTTGAATTGTAGTATTATTTATTTTCAATTAACTTAATTAACAGCAATGCTTTAAAAAAAACGCTATGCTATATTTAAGATATTAGATTAAATTACTAATTAAATTTTTTAAAACACAAAAGTATATTTCATTAAGTTTATTGATTAAATGCAATTGAAATGGTATTCTTAAATATATTTCCAATATTTTTAAAAAGCTAATTGAACACTCAGAACGACTAAATCTTGCATCTGTTTTTTTTAAAAATTGCATACTTTTATTTTTCTAACAGAAAGTAGAGGCTGCACCGTAAAATGTTTACTAGATAAAATGTTCTGCAACGTTTTACTTAAAAGTAAAAAGTAATGAAAGCTGTAGAAAGAGTTACATTGATACACGAATATAATGTAAAGTTAATTCATAAAGATATTGCCAAAATTTGGTCAGGTTTTAGAAAATGAATTAATGAATCCATTAAAAAGCTGGGAGGAATTTGATGCCGATCTTGCACAGACCCTTCCCTACGCGATCAGAAGTGTAGGAGATGACCCTGTTGGCCGCGAGGTAGAGGTCGTTGTTTACAGGTCCAGTAGAGTCGGCCTGGCCGTTGAGGGCGAACCAGTAGGGGCTGTTGTAGTAGTTGAAGTTGTTGTTGTTGTCTGACAACCACACAAGGTGGCCGTCACCGGCTATGAGCGTCAAACGGGTGCTGGAAGAAACAGAAAAGGTTATCACGTGATTAGGTGAAAAAGTAATTAATTTCGTTACGTCGTGGTCGAGTAGTTGGGAGAGCAATCCTAAACCTGAAAGAACTGGGCTTGAGACCCCTAACAATAAAACAACCTTTTTTTTCGCCCCCCCCCCCCTATTGGTAACTTAATAAAAATTACATATATTTGGGTACAGTTTTGTGTGACTGACTTTTGGTATTTAAAAAAAAAAACACTTTTGGATATACGAGTAGAGTTTACATTTTATATGACCCCAGGGATATGGGATAGTGTGGTCAGTTCTATGCCCGCCACGCTTTACTTTCCAATCTACTATCAGGTATTTATTAGAGCTGGGTGGAGAAAGGGGCGTCATCGTAATCGTATATTACAGTGGGTTAGAACTTATAAACATTACTGTTATAGGTAATGCAGAAGGGAGGGGCGCACACTTCGGTCCCAGATATCAGCTCAATGCCAGTCACTCTTTCTTCTCCCTAATTCATTCTGAGTTTTATTTATATTTATACCTCGGGAATTGTAAATAATAAATCTTACACAATCAAGATTCGAACCTCACAGTTATTACACTATGTCGCTCGACCACATTGATTCCCCGATTAGATAAAAAATCAATAAAAATCAAAAACACTCACCTGTAGAGGTTAGGGGCGTTAAAGGCTTGACCACTGCCTCCATAGTCGCTGAGGTAGCCGGCCATAGAACCGGCGACTCCTTGAACTTCCGCGTCATTGGACTGGCTGCCACTGTCACCAGCTAGACGTGGAAGAGGTGCGTTAGTACATACACGCTTTATAACAGTAGATCAGAGGCCTAGCGAGGGGGGGGGGGGGGGGGGCGGGGGGACATATGTCCCCGGGCGCCGACCTTAGGGGGTGGGGGGGGGGCGCCAAATTGAAAGTTTGAGCGGGGGTGCAAATCGAAAGTTTGTCCCCGGGCGCCGGGAAGGGTCGCTACGCCTCTGCAGTAGATATACACATAGTTCATTTATATGAGTTTTATAACATCAGACTTTCAAAGTTTGTTCATTCAAGTTCTATAATTATAGACTTACATGGTACATATAGTTAGTTCATACACGCTTTATAACAGTAGATATACACATAGTTCATTTATAACAGTTTTATAACATCAGACTTACACAGTTTGTTCATTCAAGTTCTATAATTATAGGCTTATACGGTACATAACGTTAGTTATTACAAGTTTTATAACCTTAGACTTACATACAAATGTATTACAATTTTCTAACAAAAGACTTTTACATACAGTTTGTTCATAATAGTTTTATAACGTTAACCTTATACACAAATCTAGTTCATAATAGTTTCCTGGGAAAAGATTTTTACATAAATTTAGCTCATAATAGTTTTATAACGCTAACCTTATACACAAAGTTAGTTCATTAATAGACTTAGTAATAGACTTACACTTTCTTAACACCGTTAACAGTTTATTTAGAGAAATATAATGATTAAATGACATCGATATTAATATTCCAAGTTACTTTAATTACTCGCTTATTGTAATTAAATCAATTAAAACTCGTGTTTTTAATGCATGGAAAAATGTTTTTTTTTTTATACTTCCGGCTATCAAAATCAATTTAAATGATTTATTGTAATTGCATTAGCCGGTTAATGATGCTTTAAAAAAGGGGTATTTTAATTGGTCAGCTGTTGCTACTGTTTATTATGGTGTAATATTCATGAGGCGAGTGGAAGGGGGGGGGGGGGAGTTTTGATGTTGATACTACTTCCTTATTTTGTGAAACCATATTAATAATTTCTAAAAAGTACTAAGTAGGATTTCAGAATTACAAGTTTCTAGATTTAAATGACCCGGGAGTGATTATCCTCTAAACACTTGTAGGTGATGTCCCTTTAGTCGGCACGCGTCTTTCGTGAAGACGAGTCTCGTGCCTCGGAAGCCATTGTGGACGGTACCATGACAATTAGAGATCACGTGATCTGGTTAGTGAAGGATTTGACTGGCTAAAGCACGGCTGACGAGACATTCCTTCAAGCGCTAATGAGTCGACGGCGGTAATTACGGCAGCGAGGAAAGAAGCGGATTTTGGTTTAATCATTTTTAGCGAGGAAATGAAGGCTTTGATGTTGGCGCTTTGAGATTTACGAACGTGTCACGTTAGTTTATTTTATATGGGGGGGGGGGGGGGAAGAGGCACTAAGCTTCAGCAAGCAAGTGGTTATTATTGGGGGCCCTAAACTTATCCAAGCAATTGTTGCTATTAGGGGCCCTAAGCTTAACCTAAAATGTAGTTGTTATGACGGGGGGTGGGGGGTGGGGGGGGGGGGGTGAAGGGGCTAAGCTTAACCTAACATTTGGTTGTTATTGAGGGCCCTAAACTAATCCAAGCATTTGTTGTGATTTTGGGCCCTAAGCTTAACCTAACCTTTAGTTTTTATGGGGGGGGGGGGGGGGGGGCTAAGATTAACCTAACATTTGGTTGTTATAAGGGCCCTAATCTATCCTAATTTTTATTGTTATTATGCGGACTAAGCTTAACATAACCTTTGTTTTCTATTGAATACCCTAAAATCCAAACACTTGATTGATTGGGGGCCCCTAAGCTAATCCTAAACCTTGTTTTCCTAATAAAACTCTAAACATGACCATTGTTTACTATCTGATACACCATAACCATACCACCATAACACCATAACACTAACCATATCCTTTTTGTCTGAGGTCACGAACTTACCGTATCCGTTGTTGGATTTGGAATCTCCCAAGTTGAAGTTCCAGCCGCTAGCGCCGGGTAACAGAAAGAGGTCGACGATCACCCGTTTCCTGTTGATGTCTCCGAGGGCGATTTTAAACACGGCTGAGAAACAAAAGATGAGTACGTTAGGATCAAGGCCTTTTTGATTGCGGGGTGGCTTTAAATTAATTGGGTACAAGAAGAACGTACAATGTATTCGAGGAAGAAATCTAATTATTTTGTTACTGTATTCATAAGTTTAAAAGATACAGCAACAGTGATGAGATAAATTGTCCTTTGATGGTTAAGTTCGCAACAAAGTGCAGTCATCTAAATATACAATCTCAAAACTAAATTCGCTATTTAATTCAAGCTTCTAAAGTCGTGATTCAATTTTCTTAAAATGATGGAGTTTTTAAAACTTTTTTTGGTAGGGTATGCAAACACAGAATTGATGGTATGTCCAAGATTATATATATATATATATATATATATATATATATATATATATATATATATATATTTATATATATATATGTGTGTGTGTCCAATATTTTATATATATATATATATATATATATATATATATATATATATATATATATATATATATATATATATATATATATATATATATATATATATATATATATATATATATATATATATATATATATATATATATATATATATATATATATGTCCAATATTTTATATATATATATATATATGTCCAATATTTTATATATATATATATATATATATATATATATATATATATATATATATATATATATATATATATATATATATATATATTTTTTTTTTTTTCTTTTTTTTCTTTTTTTCTACAAACAAAAGCTGTAGCCAACAACGAACGATGTATGTCCCACTCCTATCTGTGGAGCTCATCATGGAGCCCGAGAGCTCCACTTCCCAGCTTGGAACATTTAGATTTCCGAGGTCTGGAATCTAAACAGGATCATTTATTACCCTAATTAACGACCGAGCTCGTTTAATGAATGCATGTTCAGGGAAATTGTGCAACAGATATTTTAACGTTAATCTGATTGAATCGCGATGAATGTGTGATGTCAGGGTGACACTGGCTAAGAGAACAAGGGGCGGCAATGAGGAATGATTGACATTTTTAGAATGATCTGGCGGACATGATAATTTCAACCCAGTTTTTGAACGAACCGATTTTTTTTTAATTTTCAAAAACAAAAAACAAGAATGTAATGTCTTCTGTAGATAATGAATTTAATCCTTTAACAAAAATATGTCCAACGTTTATTCATCGCAGTCCATTATTTTTTATTATTTTCCTTAGAGAGACTATGGCCACGGGTTGTGTTTAAAGAAGCTGGGTTTATAAGCCCGATAAAAATATTTAGGGTTTAACACAAACATAAAATTATGTTAAACCAGGAGTTCTCAATCTTTTTTGAACTATCGAACCCCACCAGTTACATATGCACCTTCACCGAATTCATTTAAATAATTCATCGTCCGCACTGACAAAAATTCCAATCGGGTTTGTGTATTCATCTTCAACTAACCCCTGAGATTGACTCACCAAACCCTTGGGGTTCATTCGAACACAAGTTAAGAACTACTGTGTTTAACATAAATTAATATATTCTTAAACATCACATTTGTACACCATCTGGAAATTGAGTAAAAGGGGGTGGGGTGGCGTTCCTCATGGTTCAGACAAGGCTTTAGAGTTTTATTTTCCTTAACTATTTTGTAACAAGCGCTATAGGGTAAACCAAAAATAAGTAGGCTATATAATGACGATAACATTAAGAAATGTGACCACAAATATATTTTTTATTATACTTTTGTGGTTTTTTGAACTCAATGGTGTATGCATCTCGAAAACAGCGACTTTTATTAGTTTTGCAGAAGCGATATATATATATATATATATATATATATATATATATATATATATATATATATATATATATATATATATATATATATATATATATATGAAAACTATTATGGTCTGCTTTCGCCATGCCCTGCCCTTGCATGTTTACATATTTATAGAGGCAGACTTAACTTATAGACGTCCTGTTAACCCGCACATGTAGAGATATGAGCTCCTAATGCCGCGATCCACCAAACACAAATTGTATTACAACAACAGTGCTGCCCAGTCCAGCATCGCCGTAGTGTCTATCCACAGAGACACCAATGCCCTAAACTGCTAATAAAACAAACCCAACGAACGCCGACCCAGGGACAATAACCCAATATTCCCTGTTTGTCGTTCTATCATAAACGTATTTGTCGAGCCGTTTAGCTACTCGCAAAACAAAAAAATAAGTAAATAAATAAAACATCCCACAAAGCTCGTTACAGAACCAACTGCATGTAACCTCTACGAGTTTACTCCCCCTTCTCCCCCATTCCCGGTAGTGTTTGTGAATCAATTCAATGTATCCCCAGCCCAAATCAAACAGTATTGCTCCCCAAGGAGGAAGCGCGCGCTGAACTGACCTTGTGTGTCACATCCGGTTCCGGTAGGGGCCGATACAACTGCCACATTGGGGTTGCTCACTATGATGTTGTTCTGGAAATCATACACAGCGTCATAATCTGTGGAGGGGAAATGCAGATGTTAATTAGATCATTATGCGACATGCCACCCCCCGAACTGGCGTTTAAATTTTTAATGCGGGGTCCATCAGTGCTGTCTGTCAGCTTGGGAAATTTTTTTCGTATGGGTTTGTATTAATTTTTAATCAGCTTTTGAAAGCGGAACAAAACATGAATTTAGAGGGTGAATTTAAGCATGGAATTACGCGTAAGGCGTTGTTACTATATCCATCTGCTGAGAGACAGTAACCTTATAAAGTTAGGATTTAATGCAACAAAGTTTAAACTGAATAAATATAACTTAAAAGAATTTTTTAAATTGTGAAATTATACGATGCTTTGAACAATTTATATAGATCTCTTTGAATAACAAACGCCTTATGATAATCTTTTTCTTCTTCTTCGTTCTCAATATAAGTGTTATTCGTTACTTAGGGCGTTAACTCCGATTTCAGCTTGTTTTTCTTTTTGAATTTGCTTCCATAGCCTTTGTCCATACAAGAACAAACTACGAGGCAGCAGTTGTTTGATTTTGGAGTTGTCTTTCCTAGAAGAGTTGCTGTCCCCAGCTATTGAACCTCATCTGCCCTAGGATTCAAACTCGAAACTTCTGAGCTTTACCGACTCGACCTTGCCGACCCCTAATAATTAAGTACTCAATCTTTAAGCTTTGGAATCACTTAATCTCTATTAAGACATAAAGCTAACAAAAGAATACAAAAGTATACACGTATGTATAAGGAAATGTTTAGATTAAGAAAATCTGAAAGAAGCAGATTAACACTAATGGCTCAACTAAAAACTAAACTTTTGTCGACACAGATTCATTTTAGCTGTCCATCAAACAGCCTCCTTATATGGAGTTAGGTAGAGTACAGCTTACTCTAACACTACCTCTTTTGTTAAGATATTTTAAGTCATATATTCCTATTATATTTATACGCTACGGGCTGTTTTGTTCGTGTATGTACCGCCGATATTTAAACAAAAGTAAACTTTTTCTGTTCAAACGCTTTTTCAGATAATCAATAGGTCTCAGCCCTTTTGCATTGATTTTCAACGGCTTTGATTTTCTTTGACCAAACTGCACGGGATGGTGTGGTTGAATGGTAGAGTACTCGATTACCTACCCAAACGGCATGAGTTCGGATCACGGGCTTAAGTCAGAAGGACGTCCCTGAGTTCATATAACTTATATAGCCGACACTGTCCCATTAAATGAAATCTTAGTAACGTGTGAACTCTAGTTCACCTGCCCGACAGTGTAACTTTAAATTCATACAACAGTATTGATACATTTCTGTTAGATATGTCTATACTTTTAGCGAAATCTTTGATTAAAACTATTCCTTTACACTAGGCGTGTATTTTAGGGTTATCATAGTCAAGACAATTTTTGACAACTATGTTAGCCCATCTCTCTGCTTTCAGGGACTTTCGTTTTAACTAATTTAAGCTAGTTCTCATTCTTTGAAAAGGCTTTTGTTTAGCTCCCACTCTAAGCAGACTTTTGTTTAGCTCCCACTCTAAGCAGACTTTTGTTTAGCTCCCACTCTAAGCAGACTTTTGTTTAGCTCCCACTCTAAGCAGACTTTTGTTTAGCTCCCACTCTAAGCAGACTTTTGTTTAGCTCCCACTCTAAGCAGACTTTTGTTTAGCTCCCACTCTAAGCAGAATTTTGTTTAGTTCCCTCTCTAAGCAGACTTTTGTTTAGCTCCCACTCTAAGCAGACTTTTGTTTAGCTCCCACTCTAAGCAGAATTTTGTTTAGTTCCCTCTCTAAGCAGACTTTTGTTAAAAAAATCCTACCCTTATTTGCCTTAGGCTTCAAATTGAAGTAAACCTTCTAGTATAATTATCTCCCCTTTATTTTTGGATCTGGCCTGTACTAGAGAAACGTAAGTACTGAAATTTTGGGCATTTGTGTTTTAAAAATATCAAATATTGTTTTTAAAACTAACCCTAACCTTAGGGCTAACTCTAACTCTAAGCCCAGAGCTAGCTCTAATCTATATTTTTTTTCAAGAAAAACAATACAAAGACTTTTATTTAACTTTAACCAACTCCCAAATTAAACACCAACTTCCGTTTTAGCCCAAGCCCACCAACCCTAGTTTTAAAAAAAAAAAAAGACTTTCGTTTTAACCCTAACCCACCAACCCTAAAAAACAGACTTTCGTATTAACCAGAACCCACCAACCCTTATTGAAAAAAACAGATATTTGTTTTAACCCTAGCCCACCAATCATCGTTAAAAAAACAACACCAACTTTCGTTTCAGCCCTAGCCCAACAACCCTCGTTAAAAAACCACCAACTGTAAAAAAACACAGCTACTGTCGTTTCAACCCTAACCCACGAACCCTCGTAAAAAACACACCTACTGTCGTTTCAACCCTAACCCACGAACCCTCGTAAAAAACACACCTACTGTCGTTTCAACCCTAACCCACGAACCCTCGTAAAAAACACACCAACTTTCGTTTCAACCCTAGCCCACCAACCCTCGTAAAAAACACACCTACTGTCGTTTTAACCAACGCCCACCAACCCTCGTAAAAAACACACCTACTGTCGTTTTAACCAACGCCCACCAACCCTCGTAAAAAACACACCTACTGTCGTTTTAACCAACGCCCACCAACCCTCGTAAAAAACACACCTACTGTCGTTTTAACCAACGCCCACCAACCCCCGTTAAAAAACACACCAACTTTCGTTTTAACCCTAACCCACCAACCCTAAAAAAAAAAAAAAAAAAACCAACTGTCGTTTTAACCCTAACCCACCAACTATTATTAAAAAACAGACCCGTTTTAACCCTAACCCAAAACCTAACCGCTCACCGATGGCTGGACAAGGCTTGGCGGTCTGAGCCTGGGCACCGTACAGGGTCGCCATGAGGCAGAGGGTGAGCAGTGTAGGCTGCATGATGGCTGGTCGTCAATCTGATCTGAGGAACCAGAGATTGTTATGATTAGAGGGTCTCAGGATCGCGGCTAGGATCCGGTGTTAAATATTGAATTTCATCAGAGCCAGATGTGGGGAAAAAATATAAAAAAAAAAAAAAAAAAAGAAATCACGTGATGCTGGTGATGATGTAATATTTGGAGAGGGGGGTCGGCTAGAGTTGCGACCTAATGAAGAAAAGAACCGGAAGTTTGAATTTTTTAACGATGCGTTAACATTAACACGTGTTAAGGGTGAACGGTGGAGTTCGTTGCTTTGTTAGCCGCATCTTTCTTCACTGACTTCTCAATTTCCGGGTATCTTTGTTTTACATTAAGCAACTTCATTAATTCCGGGCACTTTTCTACTGCAGTAAATAACCAATTTCATAAATTCCGGGCATATTGCTTCTACATTAACCAATATAATAAATTCCGCGTATCTTCCTACTAGATTAACCAACTTCATAAATTCCGGGTGTCTTTCTTCTACATTAACCAACTTCATAAATTCCGGTTATCTTTCTACTAGATTAACCAGCTTAATAAATTCCGGGTGTATTTCTTCTACATTAATCATTGATTAATATAATAAATTCCGCGTATCTTTCTACTGGATTAACCAAGTTCATAAACTCCGGGCATATTGCTTCTACATTAACCAATATCATAAATTCCGGGTATCTTTCTACTAGATTAACCAACTTCATAAATTCCGGGTGTCTTTCTTGTACATTAACTAACTTCATAAATTCCGGTTATCTTTCTACTAGATTAACCAGCTTAATAAATTCCGGGTGTATTTCTTCTACATTAATCATTGATTAATATAATAAATTCCGCGTATCTTTCTACTGGATTAACCAAGTTCATAAACTCCGGGCATATTGCTTCTACGTTAACCAACATCTTAAATTCCGGGTATCTTTATTCTACATTAACTAACTTTATACATTCCCGGTATCTTTTATTTCCTACTTAAACCAACTTCATAAATTCCGATTATCTTGCTTCTACTTTAATTAACTTCACAAACTCACAGTTTCAACACAATTAATCGCAAATTCCAAGTCTTTTTTCTGGTGTGTGAGGTTTCCACCCCCCCCCCCCCCCCTCCTTGGTGCACCTGCTGCACATATCGTGCCCTGCGGACAACTCGTATCTCGGATGTGGACAACACCAGTTACCTCCCCCCTCCCTTGGTGTTATCAACATGTGTACAGTTGCCTGTGAGTTTATATAGCTCTGGATTCTAATTTGCGGAAATTCTTACAAAAAACAGATGACGGAGCAACGTAGCGTTTACTAAACAGGATTGATTGTTTTTAAACTTATACATTTCAATACGTTATACACATGCTGTCAGATTGAAAAGTTGTTGAAGTATCTAAACTAATTATAAAAATAGAAATCACACACGAACAAAGAGTCATGTTATATACATAATATGTAGCTGACGGTGTGGTGAACTCAATTCGTCCCTGAGTCTACCCAGCTCTGATGGGTACCAAACTCAAGTCAGCAAGACGTCCCTGACACCACCCAGCTCAGCCGAGTACCTGGCCCAAGTCAGCAAGACATCGCTGAGTCCACCCAGCTGTTATGGGTACTTGACCCAAGTCGAAGATCATAAAGTCAGTTGGACATGACACTGACCACACGATCTATTATCATGCTGAATCAAAATAAAACTCTACTTCATCTTCCTAATAAGCCTTTAAGTCATCTCACATATACTGATTAGTTAGAAATAAAATAACAACAGGAAACCTTAAAAAAAAAAAAAAAAAAAAAAAAAAAAAAAAAAACTAAAGTAAATATTTACCGGAGGACGCTTCTTGGCAGATAGGTATGTAACTAAACATGAATCAAATTGAGGCTGCCTATATGGTAAGCTGTATTTGATCCAACAACCAATCGTATTGGGGAATTGATTTTCAAACTTAATGTTATTTAAAACATAGGTGTCGCCTAGCAAGTCGAATCGAGATTATGAAGGGGCAAAAAACACAAAAGACAAAGAAAAAAAAATATTGTGATCTATAATATAATGACTTTACATTTAGTTTATTTCGATTACATTGCAGAATATCTATTCAGAAAAGTACTGCGGTGATACTACTAGTGTCCAATAATCGACGCGTCGAAAAATAGGGGTGTTAGATTGTTATTAGTAATGTAAAATTAATTTTAGGGTTTGGTTTAGAAATTAGAATTAGAGCTATAGGGGGACTTGAATTTGTATAAATTTAACGTTGGCGTTCACTTGGTGTGCAATTCTTTTTTTCTACGAGATTTTATTTTATTTTAAAAAGTTTAAGTATTTAAACGGATAAAAAATCTTGTCTATATCCCGAGTTGCCATCCCCTGCTGTTTTATATAAGAATATAGGAGAAAATTTAGGGCAGATCCCTCCCGGTTTATTTATTGTCAGAGCATTTAAAAGTTTTTGGCTATATGTTTTTTTTTTTAAATTTGTTATTTTAAACATAGAAGAGCTACGCCTATGTATTTAAGCTAGCCTCGTTTTGAAACAGACTACGTGTACACGTCTGTGTGGTGTATGTCCCTACCCACATAGTGTAGCCAGATGTCTTAGATTTGTCAGAAAGATTTGAGAGAATCATCAAAGATATCGATACATTTCATGTTTTATAGTATATTTTAATGACATAATCCACGTATCTAAGAATTCTTTGTCCTTGTATGAAGGGGGAGGGGGGATGTTAGTGGGTAGTTAATGTGTGTGTGTGGGAGGTGGGTTTTTCTGCCCACGTTGACCAAACGGTGATTAACACAGTGGTTCTTAAAATATGTTCAAGGTCTGGGTCGACCGTCGATGTAGTTTCAGCATCGTCAATAGATTTTAACAGGATTTATACTAAACACTTTCTTCGGCACCGTGTGACGTCACTGAGGTCACTCAGCTCTTATGGGTACCTGGCTAACGTTCGGTAAATTAAAAATGGTTGGGCGTTGATCTTAACACAATATACCTTTATTGGCCGATCACACGAAAACTGGTGGACTCTACTTCACCTGCCTTATTTACCAAAAAGAGTATATCTCATTTTTTTTTCAGGCATGGTTTTTATAGGTTAAAAGATATACATTTACTCAATGATAATTGAAACATACAATTAACAAATGTGTACCTGAAAAAACCCAAAGTAGAGTTGGTAAAGTTTGAGCTTGGAATAGACATAGAAACATAAACAACAAACCACATGGATTTGATGACGTCCTATTAAAAACAACACGTTTCTTAAGAAATGAATATATTAAAACATATCTATATATAAAAAAACGTATTCATTGTGCTGTTGGTCTCTGCTGCACTTCCCATTATAAGACATTATATCGTTTCAATGAGGCTACCCGAGCTTTGCTAAGATTACAGGCTTACTGTTGTTGTTTCAATTTTTTTAGATTTATTTTTTATATGACACTTGGGAGAACTAGACAAGAGATCATCAGACCCGTATAGAAAAACGGCACGGATACTAGTAAGCAATAAAGTAAAAACCTGAAACTATTTTTTTTTTATACAGCGAGTAGCGAGGATCCGATGCTTGTGTCAAAAGTAGAGAGAATTTTAACAGATTTTTTGTTTGGCTTATTGAGTGCGTACCTGATACCCCAGTGTTGAATAGAAGACTGTGCTGGTTGTGTAAGCTGTACAGGTTTAGGTACAGCCTACACATAGCTGTACCTATTGAAAACTGTACCGTTTATTTATTTCTTTAGAAACGAAACAGAACCTTTCATTTTATCCCGCCGTATAATTTACTTTTACTGCTGTACCGTGTTTTATAAAGCCGTACTGTTTTTTTATAAAGCCGTACCGCTTTTATAAAGCCGTACCGCTTTTATAAAGCCGTACCGTTTTTATAAAGCCGTACCGTTTTTATAAAGCCGTACCGTTTTAATAAAGCCGTACCGTTTTAATAAAGCCGTACCGTTTATATTTAGAACCTTTTGTGTATCGTTTATTTTCAAAACCTTTTGTGTACGGTTTATATCCAAACATTTTGTATACCGTTTATATTCCGAACCTTTTGTTGAATCCCATTGAAGCTATTGTTTAAGATATCGACAAAGCTGTACCGACGATTACTTGAATATAAATCTCCAATTGATGTTTGACGCTTTATAGCCTGAAACATACGTTCATACAATCCACAAGGTCTACTCCTACCTGTGATCATTGAAGCGTTCTAAACATCAGACAAACATTTTAAGACAATGTCTTTATCCTTCAATTGAATCATAGAAAGAAAGCGTTTGTATTTTATTAAATCTATATTTACCTCTGGCTAAAGAAGTCTTTAATTTTTAGTTACTGATTTTAGATCTTACTGACATGAAATCGTTAATTTTCAGTTTCTGACTTTACATCTTACTGACATGAAATCTTTAATTTTCAGTTACTGATTTTAGATCTTACAGACATGAAATCTTTAATTTTCAGTTACTGACATTAGATCATACTGACATGAAATCTTTAATTTCAGTTACTGACTTTAGATCTTACTGAGATGAAATCTTTCATTTTCAGTTACTGACTTTAGATCTTACTGACATAAAATCTTTAATTTTCAGTTACTGACTTTAGATCTTACTGAGATGAAATCTTTAATTTTCAGCTACTAACTTTAGATCTTACTGACATGAAATCTTTAATTTTCAGTTACTGACTTTAGATCTTACTGACATGAAATCTTTAATTTTCAGTTACTGACTTTAGATCTTACTGACATGAAATCTTTAATTTTCAGTTACTGACTTTAGATCTTACTGACGAGAAATAACTACGTTGAATGTTCCATTGTCAAAGCTTATTCTACAAACACATAATCTACCCAGTTTTAACGAGTACCTGTCTTTAGTCGTGGATGTAATGGTGGCTGTTTACATAGCTTAACACACTACACCTTCAGATGCCGAGTATATATATATATATATATATATATATATATATATATATATATATATATATATATATATATATATATATATATATATATATTTATATATACATATATCGACATTAGTGTATACGTCTATCTTCTATCAGTGTATGTTCAAACATAAAAAAATACTTTAAAATGTAAGGTCAATGCTTGGTTATAACCCCAGTAGCACGGCCCGCAATCTTCGGATTTAGACTGGATTATTGAGATGTTTGACAGGAGTGCCCTCCCATCTACATCCGACTGTACTTAATCCCGAGACTAATTTACCAGAAACTAAATACAGTTGATGTGTAGGTCTACTATTGAAGCCAGTGTGTAGTTTACACACACGACTCTAAACTTTTATGTAAACCGAATAAACATACACACATAAGGCAAAAGCAAAACACTGAGAAAACACGCAGCGAATACAATCTGAACACACACAAAACACAAAAACACACACAAATCACCTAGAACACACAAAACACACATGAAACTCACAAGATACACACATAGCCTTTAAATAATATATGATTTCAATTAAGCAAACCATCCAAGGAGGAGTGAGGGGTGGTCCGGGAAGGGGAGGGGGGAGGGCTGGCCACACTAAACCTATAGTGTTTATACATCGTAAATGGGGGGGGGGGGAGAGGTTATCTCCCCGGGCTACATCACATAGTGACGCTACTCTACTTTCTAAACCACTAGCGGAATAATCACATAGAGTAAAACGTATACGTTCCCATAGTGACCAGAGGCGTAGCTAGGGGAGGGCGGGGAGGGCGGCCGCCCCGGGCGCCGACCCTAGGGGGGCGCCAAAAGGGGTAGAAAATAATTTTAAAAGCTCATTTTAAGCTGCAGTTTTGAATTATAAACAGTCAAAGTAAAAAAAATTAACGGCTGAGAGGCTTTGCATACTGATTTTACTGTTTTCTACCTTGATCGTGTAACTGTAAACGTATATCCTTAAGAAACAGTGATCGGAAAAACCGCTTTCCAGCTTTCCTAGATTGGGGGGGGGGGGGGGGGGGCGCTTTTTCGGAAAAAAATTCACATCGGATTAAGGAATAAATAACCGATATCACTCAGAAAAGAAACCCTTTCTACTAAAGCGTATTTTGTGTAACATGAAAAAAAGAGTTAGTGACGTTTAAAATCCGCTCTAACATTTTCAAGATGGTGGTGGGGGGGGGGGGCGCTTTTTCACAAACAAAAACCGCATTTGTGCTGGATCGGTGACTAGAAAACTCTTTTAACACTTAGAAAAGAAATCAATTGTATTAACACTTAATGTACGATTTCACTAGCCAGTTTTGCTAAGTGATAACGCGACAAGTTATTTGTACGATTCTTACGATTCTCTCAACTTCATCGTTAGAGATCAGATACTTTTACTTAATTGCATTACATTACGGGATCACTTCATTAAGAGAAATAAATATCACGGATTATTGTATCTTTATCCGATACGTAAAATAGCACTGGTTCCTAACTTTTTGGAGGTACCGAAACCCACCAGTTTTATATGCGCAACCATCGAACCCTTCTTAATAGTTGTATCGTCCACACTGACATAATCCGATCGTGAATCATATGAGTCGACTGTGTGTCTTGACCTCCGCTGAAGCCCTGAGACTGAATTACCGAACCTCTCGGGTTCGATGGAACCCACTGTTCTTGGCTCTTTTGATTTTCTTCTTTTTTTTGTTTCGGTTTCCTAAGGAACATAGGCGTAGGCAACACTTCATCAACTCACTTGATTTTTATAAAGATCGAACCCTAATAATCTAGCCTCCCCATTCTCTATTTAAAACGATTTCCTTCAGGACTTATTAATATTTGGTCTCATTCTCTTCCTCTTTCCCCATGGACTTCACACAAGCACCTGCATAGTGATGTTATTTTTCGTCTTTCTCATATTGTGTCCTAACCACCGCCATTTCACACTCCACTGTCTTTAACCTAGCTCCGAGCCATACAGTAAAAGATACATC